CCTGCAGCTCCTCCCCCCACTCCCGCAGCAGGCGGTGCAGGAACTCGCAGCCCACGAAAATGGTCTCACTGGGGAGTTTGGCCAGTGAGGTCAGGCTGACATCCCGTTCTGCCTCCTTCACCTTCTCTGCCAGCGCCTGCTGGTGGTAGGGGTTCTGCGTGTCCGAGTTCCACACAGAGATCACGGTGGCCAGTTTGTCCAGATACATGGTTGCAGACACCTCCTGGGGGTCGTCCTCCATCAGCGCAAACACGGTCAGCATGTCGGCCAGGTTGGCCAGCGCACAGCACCTTCTTCCCGGGCCCAGGATCCGACTTTGGATCTGCGTCAGCCCGCGGAGCAGCATGGACAACAGGGGCATGGTGGGGCACACGTCTGGGTCTGACCTAAGCCTCTTTGGAGGATGGGGGAACTCATCTAAGGCAGGCAGGTACTTATGGGCCATTGCACTAAACTGGGAGAGCAGGGGGTCCTGCGGGTGACCCTTGTGCTTCATCAACTCCCACCAGACGTCCAGGAAGAAGGCCACATCTTCAGAAGAAGTGTCAACAGTCACGTGCTCCAGAAAGCGCTCTAGTTCTGCATGGCGGATGGTGGTGGGCAGGGCCATCAGGAGCTGGATAAAGAGTCCAGAAGCTTCCAGGGATTTGAGCAGCTCAAAGAGGACAGTGTGGTTGATGGTGGGGATCATGTTGCCCACCGAGAAGAACAGGTCTTCCTGCCACCGCGTCTCCGTGTCAGAGGGGGTCACGGGGTGCGGCTGCAGAACCTTGGCCCAGATGATAATCAGGGCTTTCTTCTTCCAGGCAAAGGGCTGGGAATGTGCTGCGGCCGAGGAGATCTCCCTTAAGGCCTCCACGATGGGGCGTCCAACATGTTCCCAGTCAGACTTTGTCAATTCTGCCAGTGCCTTGGGGCGGAACAGCTGCTCGGCCAGCAAGAAGCCTCCATGCAGAATAGTCATTTCTTCACAGATGTTCAAGGGCCCTGCACGTAGACAAGCCAAATAAGACAGTATAGTGAAAATGTTTCCAGATGGCCACTGCTGTTAGTAGGTGGTCATGGTTAGAGATGACAAGGGTTTTAAATGACATCAGCGGAAGGGGAGAAGGGATGGCTACAAGAGCCACTGCAGAGCTGGAGTCAGAAGGACCGGGCCGAGGAATCCAGAATGGCTTCCGAGCTCTCCGGCCTGGGAAGCGGGTGGCGTCACATATAGGGAATGCTGGAGAATCAGAACAGGTGTGAGGAAAGATGAGTTCAGCTTTGGCTACCGAGGTACAGACGTCCTCCAGCAATGGAAATGCCGGGTGGAAGTTCAGGAGGGAAGTCAGCTGGGAAATGTGATTCTGAGAGTTATCTGCCCAGAGGGATCACTGGAACCAAGACAGTGAATGAGATCCTTCAGGAAAAGTGTGTGAAAAGAAAAAGCTGGGCTGCTGAGGCCAGACCCTCCAGCAAAGGGTGGGCCAGCAGAGGATGTGGGGAGAGGGGTTTAGAAATAGCAGGAAGGCAAACTACAGGGGCCACTGAGCATGTACCACAGGACATGACACCTGAGCTTCTCATGACAGTAGAAGGGGCATAGCCACAGGGTAATGGGCACACAAGCAATCACACAGCCACAGGGTAATGGGCACAGAAGCAATCACACAGCCACAGGATAATGGGCACTGAAAGCAATCACACAGTCACAGGGTAGCAGGCACACAAGCAATCACACAGCCACAGGATAATGAGCACAAGCAATCACACAGTCACAGGGTAATGGGCTACAAGCAATCACACAGCCACAGGGTAATGGGCACAGAGGCAATCACACAGCCACAGGATAATGGGCAAAGAAGCAGTCATGCAACCCACAGGGTAATGGGCACAGAAGCAATCACAGCCACAGGGTAGCGGGCACACTTAATCACACAGCCACAGGGTAATGGGCACAAACAATCACACAGCCACAGGATAATGGGCAAAGAAGCAGTCATACAGTCACAGGGTAAAGGGCACAGAGCAATCAGTCAGCCACAGTGTAACGGGCACACAGCAATCACACAGCCACAGGGTAATGGGCACAGAAGCAATCACACAGCCACAGGGTAATGGGCACACACAAGCAATCACACAGTCACAGAGTACTTGGGCACACAAGCAATCACACAGCCACAGGGTAATGGGCACAGAAGCAATCACACAGCCACAGGATAATGGGCAAAGAAGCAGTCATACAGCCACAGGGTAATGGGCACAGAAGCAATCCACACAGCCACGGAGATGTGGGCACACAGCAATCACACAGCCACAGGGTAATGGGCACAGAAGCAATCACACAGCCACAGGGTAATGGGCACACAAGCAATCACACAGCCACAGGGTAATGGGCACACAAGCAATCACACAGCCACAGAGTAGCAGACACACAGAAAGCAATCACACACAGCCACAGGGTACACAAGCAATCACACAGCCACAGGGTAACGGGCACACAAGCAATCAGACAGCCACAGTGTAACGGGCACGCAGCAATCACACAGCCATGGAGTAATGGGCACAGAAGGAATCAGACAAGCCCTGCCTTCACCCTTTACAACCCTGCCTTGGGAACAGGCTTCATTCTTCTACCTTTCAGGGAAACAGTCCACCCCACAGCTCCTTCTGGTCAAAAACAAGCTACTCATGGCCCTGCTCTGTGGGAGAAACCAGGGAGTAGATACAGAAAATACTGTGCTAGATTAAGCCTTCCTTCAGGGAACTAAGATTGACACAGACTTACCATGGAAAGCATCTTGGGATGTTTAATCAGACATGGGTTTAAATCCTAGCTCAGCCATTTAAAAACAATGTGATTCTGGCCAGGTGCAGTGGCTAGCACTTGTAATCCCAGCTACTTGGAGGGGCTGAGGCAGGTGGATCCCTGAGGCCAGGAGTTCAAGACTAGCTGGGGTAACATAATGAGACCCCCCTCCATCTCCAAAAAAAAAAAAGGATGTGATCTTGGTCAAGTTGCTTCTCCAAGCCTCCCTTCTGCATATGTGGGGATAATACAGACTTCATGTTATAACTTTGAGGATCATGTGATATATACCAGTCAAGCCCTTTCTAGTGGGTTGGTATTGCTATCTCCTGACCCCATCTCCCCGGGACGCTATGATAGATAAATACAGCTACAATAAGAATCAGGTTACAGAGTGTAGTTAGGTGCTCAGTAAATGTTGGTTTCCTCAAACCTTTTCATAGTTTGCAGGACCAGAATCTTGTCACTATTCTTTGCCTCCCCCAGCTCAGAAACATCAAAGGATGTAGGCCTTTATCAGGCATGTTTCCTTTGGCCTAGAAACTAAAACGAGGGTACAAATACTGCTTCCTATTCCTCATTCCTGAGTCCTCTCCCCTCTCCTAGGATTGAGAGATGCTACTCCTTCCTCAGTCTCTCATGCCCACGAGAGCTCATATTCCCCATTTTCCCAGGCCAGACACCAGCAGAGAAAACACTGACTCCAGGAAACTAAGGACCATCTTACCCTTCCCACCATTTATGAGAGCAGCAGCAGGACAAGGGTTCAGCACTCTGTAACCCACTCGTGGAGGCAATCCATCTCAGCTCACAGTGGCTGAGTCTGACTCCCAGGGAAGGTTAGGCTGCAGAGGGGACCTCTCTGGGGGTTACGGCCCTTCTTTCTGGCTCAGGAGGCTCTCCCAGGGTCCCAAAATATGGTCCCCCCTGACGCTGTAAATTTTATTTTATTGCATTATTGGATTAGCTGAGCAGATGTTTAGCCCTCAACACCTGCCTTCCAGGCGCAGTAAGTACCCACAGTTTGAAGTAGTAAGTCCCAGGGCAGTTACTAGCTGGAAAATACTCCGGTGCTTCATCACGGATGGTTAACTAGTGCTTGCCAGAGCCCGCTTCTAAGGTTTATTACGCGCCTACTCCATGCCAGGCACGGTGCTAGGTGATGCACATGTAAGATGTCTTCGATTCACAACCACCTTTTGAGGACTATTATTCCCGTTTTAGAGAAGAAGACACTGAGGCGCAGAAACGATTTGCTGAGGGTGCCCCCGCCTGAATGTGCTGGGGTTGGGAAGCAATTACGACTGAGGGGCTCCAAGCCCTAAGAGCTCTGCCATTCCGCTCCTGAAGAGCTCTCTGGGGGCGGGGAACAGACCATTTCCCCCCAGCCTACTACTGCTGACACATCTCCCAGAACAGCCTCCTGGTCTTAGCAGCCTGTGTCGAGGCTTAGCAGGGAGCTTCTAGTTCCAGGGTTCCCCCTCTCCCAGACCTTGCAAGATTCTGAATGAGGACGCACGCAGGTTCAGAAAGTGACGCCTCAGGAACGCAGCCGCCCCAACCGCGGTGTGACCCGCGCAGCCCCGCACGGGACACTGTACCTCGGCGATCTCCATGAAAAGTCGCCCAACACTCAGTGGGGAGACACACTGCCATTCTCCCAGCTCTGTCGATGAGGAAACCTGATGAGCGTTAAGGCACTTGGAGCGTAAGACGCTTGCTCAAGAACGCAGTTGCCGTTCAGGAAACGAGGCTGCCGGGGCACCCGGGGGTGCTCGGAGAAAGCCCGTTTCTCAAAGCACGTGCGCGAGCCCCGGGCCCCGGGCGTTTCAAGGGGCTCTCACTTTATGTCTGCTCGGTGTTTTCCCGCGGAGTGGGCAAGACACGGCCCAACGCGCCGCGGGACCCGGACCACCCCCGTCAAGGCCACCCGGGGACCCCCAGACCCGCCCCGACGCGGGGGACGCTTTGGCCCGGGCCCGCGCGAGCGTGCGCGGCAGGAGGAGACGCGACAGGGCGGCACCGTCCCGGTGGCGCATCGCGGGACGCAGCCCGGGACTGAGGAGACGCGGCACCCACCTAGGTCCATGGCGGCGACGCCGGCGGCTGAGCGGGGCTAACGCCCCCTCTACTCCGAGAACGCGAACCCGGCGCGGGACGCACAGCACAATGGACGGCGCAGGCGCCACGGCGGCCGCGCTCAGGCCCCGCCCACAACCCTGCCCGGCCCCGCCCACAGTCTCCCCCGCGCACGCGCAGTCCTCACGAACGAGCGCGCCAAGCGCACAGCGCCGCCTTCCGGCAGAGGCCTCCCACCCACCCTCAGGTACCGGGCGTCGCTCCCCAGACCCCTCCGCACCGTCCCCTGCCCGGCCCCGCTTCCGGGGTCTCAGCGGGTCCGGCTCACCAGTCCCCGGCCCCGCATTCACCCTCACCGGGTAACCCCGGGCGTGCCCCGCACACAGCTCACCCCCACCGAGCGCCTCCCGCGGGCCGCCCACTACCCAGCGCGGCCGCACCACGCGAGGCTTCCACTCCCACGCGTCCCTCCCGCCCCACACCCAGTCCCTCAACGCGCTCCTGCCGCTGGCGCCGCCCCCTTCAGACAGCAGCGGCCCGGATCCTAGACGCTTTTGACGGCTGGTCCTCCCCAGAAAACGCGCTGTGTGAGCCCAAACATGGTGGGGTGGCGCCAGTACGCGGGACCCCGAGCTTGCAGCCTGTGCTTGAGAAAACAAACATCGTGTGCCTGCCTGCTCCCTGAGATCCAGTAGTAACCGCCATTCCAACTCTCCACCTCCAGCTTCTAGCACCAGGGACCGCCTCCTCCCCTCATGTGCCAAGTGGAGTTCGAGCTGGCGCGCGCGGCCCTCAAGCAGCTGAAGGGTCCTGTGAGCGATCCGGAGAAGCTGCTGATCTACGGCCTCTACAAACAGGCCACCCAGGGCGACTGCGGCATCCCCGCCCCTCCGGCCTCAGACGTGAAAGCCAGGGCCAAGTGGGAGGCTTGGAGCGCGAACAAAGGGGTGTCCAAGATGGACGCCATGAGGAGCTACGCGGCCAAAGTGGAGGAGCTGAAGAAGGAGGAAGTGGGGGGCATGGAGCGCGAACAAAGGGGTGTCCAAGATGGACGCCGTGAGGGGCTACGCAGCCAGAGTGAGGAGCTGAAGAAGGAGGAAGTGGGGGGCATGGAGCGCGAACAAAGGGGTGTCCAAGATGGATGCCGTGAGGAGCTAGGCGGCCAGAGTGAGGAGCTGAAGAAGGAAGTGGGGGGCATGGAGCGCGAACAAAGGGGTGTCCAAGACGGACGCCATGAGGGGCTACGCGGCCAGAGTGAGGAGCTGAAGAAGGAGGCGGCTGACTGAGGGCTCCTCGGGAATGGAAAGGGCTTCTTAGACCTTGATGGCTGAAACGTACTGAAACTGTCGCAAGCTTAGCCGAGACATCAATAAATCACTTAAACTGCGTGAGAGTGACCGACTGCTGTTGGAACAGAGGACCTGGAGGAACTCGGTGACTGAGTGCTGGGGAGGCGTCCAAATACACAGACTGGCTTTTTGTATGGTTTTGGGTGGAGTTCCCAGCCCTCCTATTACAAGAGCGTATGTAGGTATTTGGCAGGAGAGAGGGGGACAGTGTGCTGTGGAAATGCCCAAGATCTGAGGGCAGGAGACCATTCTCCAGTGACGGCCTCTTGGGAGGCTGAGGCCCCAGCCCCTTCTCTCTTCAAGACGGATTCACTAATACCCCAACACCACAGAGGGGAGCGGGACTCTGTCCTAAAGTCCAAAAGCCCCCACTGGAACACAGGGCCTACCAAGTTCACGTTTGGAGGGAGACCAAGCTTTCCGTGATGATAGTACGGTGAAACAATTGATGGGTCAGAACACAGCAGCTGAGAAACAATGGAGCAGATGCTGTCAAAATCCCAGCCCCAGAAAGGCTCACCTGAGGCCGGGCAACCCAAATGTTCTCGGGACTGTTCTGTACTTAACCCTGGTTTCTGCTTAGGGGATGTTGGTGGGACAATATGCATATGGATGTCCATGTGGGATTTGCTGCAAGAGCACAACACACCCCTTGACCTATGCAAGTGCCAGAGTGTCTGAACCCAGCTTCTACTCCTGTTAATGATCACGGGGGCCTCAATGCACAACCATTGTGCATGGCAGCTGGAGTATGGAATAGTGAATGGTATCCAGAGAGGCAGGTCTACAGTGGCATATGGGATTTCCTGGTACTTCTTCCTTAATAGAAAGTATTTTCACAGATCATGACATCAGGTCAGCTCCAGTTCTCATTGGGACCAATAAAACAATAGAAGCAACAACCATAAAGACTTAAGAGGACAAAGGAAACAGACCTCACTGTGTGTCTTCAAGATCTGTTCACATAGTTGCAGGAAGTTGTTATAGACAAAGTACATTACTAAAAAATGAAGCCCACCCAGCACATCACAGCGATGAAAGAACTATTTCTGGTAACTGGACCAGGCGAGAGCCACACTGGAGAAGAGCAGTGCTGCTCTCTCTTCTTTGGTGAATGTTATGAAGACGTTCTGATGCACTTAGGATCATGATTCATGTTAAATTTAAATAGTAAAAATAATACATCTTGTTCCAAAATGTGGTGACAATTTAGAAGCTGTCTATATAGCCAGAACACTCTGTAAATCATAGAACCTAGAAAGTAAAAATGTGCCATAATTAGGCTAGCAGAAAGTAACAGTAAGATAAAGTTTTTAAAAAGAGAGAAAATAAGGATTTATCTAGTTGTATTTGCTTACGAAGGGGTTACCTATAGGACGCAGGGGAAATGGGATTGATGGGCATGGGGTATACTGTGAAAGGAAAATAAAATCTTGGGACCAAATTCACTAAGCCAAAGGGAAAAGTTAAGGTTGGCAATTGAGTCATGGAACATGCAAAAAACTTTTCCTTTTGTTCCTAAACAGATAAGCTATAAGACAGAAGGCCACATATCTCCCCAGGTGGTCTCCCTCACCCGACAATATAAATTAACAGCTTATCTTCATAGGTAAGGGACAAAGACAACACCAGAAACCATCCCTCACCAGCCCTGAGACAAAATGTAGATGTACTGAGCTGAATGCCTAACTGTTCCTCTGCCCGCTGCTTTCACTGTAACATGTAGATTTTGTGAACGCTAAATATACATTTACTGAGCTGAATGCATAACTGACTGTTCCTCTGCCTGCTCCTTTCACTTAACACATAGATTTGGTGAGCACTAAATGTAGATTCACTGAGCTGAGTGCATAAATGACTGTTCCTCTGCCCACTCCTTTCACTGTAACATGTAGAGTTGGTGAGCGCTAAATGTAGATTCACTGAGCTGAATGCCTAACTGTTCCTCTGCCCGTAACATGTAGAGTTGGTGGGAGCGCTAAATGTAGATTCACTGGAGCTAATGCCTAACTGTTCTCTGCCCACTGCTTACCTCGTAACACACAGATTTGGTGAGCAAATGTAGATTCACTGAGCTGAATGCATAAATGACTTCCTCTGCCCGCTCCTTTCACTGTAACACATAGATTTGGTGAGTGCTAAATGTAGATTCACTGAGCTGAATGCATAAATGACTGTTCCTCTGCCCGCTCCTTTCACTGTAACACATAGATTTGGTGAGTGCTAAATGTAGATTCACTGAGCTGAATGCATAAATGACTGTTCCTCTGCCCGCTCCTTTCACTGTAACACATAGATTTGGTGAGCACTAAATGTAGATTCACTGAGCTGAGTGCATAAATGACTGTTCCTCTGCCCACTCCTTTCACTGTAACATGTAGAGTTGGTGAGCGCTAAATGTAGATTCACTGAGCTGAATGCCTAACTGTTCCTCTGCCCACTGCTTTCACTGTAACACACAGATTTGGTGAGTGCTAAATGTAGATTCACTGAGCTGAATGCATAAATGACTTCCTCTGCCCGCTCCTTTCACTGTAACACATAGATTTGGTGAGCGCTAAATGTAGATTCACTGAGCTGAATGCATAACTGTTCCTCTGCCTGCTCCTTTCACTGTAACATGCAGATTTGGTGACTGCTAAATGTAGATTCACTGAGCTGAATGCATAACTGTTCCTTGCCCACCTCCTTTCACTGTGACGTAGATTTGGTGAGCGCTAAATGTAGATTCACTGAGCTGAATGCATAACTGTTCCTCTACCCCCTCCTTTCACTATGACATGTAGATTTGGTGAGCACTAATCAAAGCCTCACAAGAATGTAACCACTTATCTCCCTGCCTACCCTCCTTTATTTTTCCTTTCCCTCTTCCTTCCCTTCCTGCTCTTTCCCTTTTAAATACTTGTTAGGAATAACACTAAAAATCCTAAGGAAATTGAACACTCAAACAAAGGATTCTTAGCAAAGCAATTTTACTTCTGCGCAGAGGGGTGCCTCGCTGGCCAGTTGCCATGAGAGCACACCTGAACAAAGGGGCACAAGAGCCTTTATTCCTGACACAAGTCCTGCCCCTGTACCTTTTTCCATTGGCCAGGCAGGGTTGGGTCGTACAATCTAAACTAATCCCACTTGATTTTTTTAGATAGGGTGGGCACGTAAAAGAAAGTGGAGAGGAAGGGGAAGGGGTGTCTGTAATGAGCTAGAAAGTTAGTCCTCTTTCTAAATAAGGAAAGGAATGTGAGCTGGCACTGATAACAGTTGGTACTGTGGCATGCCTGGGCATCTAACAAAGGAAAAAAGGATTAAAAAAGGGGGGGGGTACTAAGAATTAAAGAATAAAATATTGATCAGATTATTTGAAGAGAAACCTCATCATATCCCACATACTAAAGCCCTAAAAATCTTCTTTGGAAAGAGTGCAGGCCACAGATCTGTGGTTGTGTCTCCTCAGGCACATCCTCAACCTTGGCAAAATAAACCTCTAAATGGGCAAGACTTGTCTCAGACACTTATCTGGTTTAAAATACCTTCTCATATTGTTTTGATTTTTGAACCATGTGACTCTATTGCTTTATATAAAGAGGATGAAGCAAGGGTACTTCTTTATTGATCATTAAAGTCAGAGTAAATTTACTATTGATTTCGCCTAAGGTAAGGGTAAGAACTCTTAGAACAAACAGGGAAACTTCTCAACTCTTACCCTGAATTTCAACAGACACATTGGAGGTCTCCGGAAAACTCTGGCTGCTAAATCACAGTGGCACTGAGTGGCAGGTGAGATAGCCAGAAAGTCACATGAAGGAGCACTGAACGTCCCTGGGTTTGTTAATTCTGGTAACATGTCAGACGGACATGGACTTCAGACACTCCTGCAGGCTAACTAGGAGAGCTCTGGCAACACGGCCATTCTAAATCTTTCTGGAGATTTAACTCAAGGTACACTTGTATTTACATGTAGGCTCCATAACCCCTCAATTCAAAAAAACAACTCTGGAGAAGCTGAAGAACTTTCCAGCTTCATCCGTTTTAAACACCAGCTTGCAGCCTGAGCAACACAGTGAGAGTGTCTCCACAAAAAATCAAACAATTAGCTGGGTGTGGTGGCACGTGGCTGTGGTCCTAGCTATTCAGGAGGCTGAGGTGGGAGGATCTCTTGAGCCTGAGAGGTCAAGGCTGCAGACAGCCATGATGAAGCCACTGCATTCCACCCTGGGTGACAGAGCAATGTCTCAAAACCAAAAACAAAACACCAGCCTGGGCAAAGCTATCTTTCTTATATCCTCATTTTCTAATTGATCATATCCCCCAGATGTGGGAAAGTAATAACTTTAGTTTAAATTTAGTTTTTGCTGATCTAATGAATATCTAAATAATATACATATATTTTTGAAACGGAGTCTTGCTCTTGTTCCCCAGGCTGGAGTGCAATGGTGTGATCTCACCTCACCACAACCTCTGCCTCCCAGGTTCAAGGGATTCTCCTGCCTTTGCCTCCTGAGTAGCTGAGATTACAGGCGTGTGCCACCACGCCTAATTTTGTATTTTTAGTAGAGATGGGGTTTCTCCACGTTGGTCAGGCTGGTCTCAAGCTCCCAACCTCAGGTGATCCACCTGCCTCAGCCTCCCAAAGTGCTGGGATTACAGGCATGAGCCACTGCACCCGGCCTAAATAATAATTTTTAAAAATTACTGTTTTTTGGTTTAGAATTACTTAGCTGAACTGTGCAGAAGCAAGCTTCTGGATTCCTTGATAAAAAGCCAAAGTTGTACACTCGAGGGCTTTAGGATGAATAAAATGTTTAAAAAAACACACAACAGGATGAGGCAGGCTGATCACCTGAGGTCAGAAGTTCAAGACCAGCCTGACGAACATGGAGAAACCTCGTCTCTACTAAAAATACAAAAATTAGCCGGGCGTGGTGGCAGGTGCCTGTAGTCCCAGCTACTCAGGAGGCTGAGGCAGGAGAATCGCTTGAACCCAGGAGGCGGAGGTTGCGGTGAGCCGAGGTTGTGCCACTGTACTCCAGTCTGGGTGACGAGTGAAACTCTGTCTCAAAAATAAACAAAAACAAAAACAAAATGCAACAACGCAAAAGACGTGACAAGCGATGAAATAAACAAAAGGAGGTAGATCTCCTAAAGCGAAAATGTCCCGTGCAGACACACAGTGTTATCTTGCACCCTGCATGGTGCCCACTATCAGGCACAGTTGTATATTTAGGAGAAAACGTTTTGGTCCGCAAAATACAAGATAAGCAGATAAAAGGGAAACCAGTGTATGTTATTCAGTCATTCAGTACTTACATAAATCACTTATTTTACTACAACAAACTTCGAGGGCCACGTTATAGCGGTCCCATACACTGGGAAAAGGCGTTTCATTTCACGAGGACAATATTACTAGAGATGAACATTAAAAATTACTTAATCTAATAGGAAATAGGAAAATTAACATACATTCTAAAGAGAAGCAGAAGTGTATCTGGTTATTCAAAGTTCATATAATAATTTCCACATGTATAAAAAAAAAAAAGGCCGGGCACGGTGGCTCACGCCTGTAATCCCAGCACTTTGGGAGGCTGAGGTGGGTGGATCACCTGAGGTTGGGAGTTCGAGACCAGTCTGACCAACGTGGAGAAACCCCATCTCTACTAAAAATACAAAATTAACCAGAAGTGGTGGCGCATGCCTGTAGTCCCAGCTACTCGGGAGGCTGAGGCAGGAGAATCGCTTGAACTCGGGAGGCGGAGGTTGCAGTGAGCCAAGATTGTGCCATTGCACTGCAGCCTGGGCAACAAGGGTGAAACTCTGTCTCAAAAAAAAAAAAAACCAATTACCTAGAGGAGGGCCATATATAACTTGGTTTGCTTTGAAACTCAAGATTGCTTCCCCAGGATACAGAATTTAAGCTGAATGAAAAGCTGTAGAGCTGGATGATAATTTCTTTCTCTCAGTGAAGGTATAATAGTATCGCACCTATAAGAAGATAAGCTGAAATGCAACCAAAATTTCCATGGCCCGCGCCCTGCCAGTAAGGGAGGACAGCAGAGGTTATGACTACAAGTAATTCTATGTATGTTCTTTTGGAACCAGGATCCTCTGAGTCAATTCCTTCCAATCTCCTAAGTTTATTTTTAAAACTCCGAACCTGGCCACCACTTTAAATGATGAGACTTAGGGACTGGTGTAACAGCTTGATTTTGGAAGCTAACTTTAAAAAAAAATTTAATTATTCAATGAATACACAATGTAATTCCATTTCGAGTGATTAAAACCTATTTGTTATATAAAACCAAACAAAACTACAAGAAAACATTTTTAAAACCTTTTTTTCAGGCTGAAGAAATTGTTTAATCCATTTTAAAGAAATCTCACATGATGTTCTGTCGGGATTAAAAATATACACAGAAAAAAATAAAACAAAATATATATACAGAAAGAAACTTGCACAGAGCCAGGTGTGCAGCAACGTCACACACTCATTCCTTTCTGTTTCCTCTGGATGCTCAAAATGTAAAAGTAAGTAAGATGGGGATGGTTAACCAAACCTTTTGGCTCAAGGAATAAAATTTCTTTAAAAAATTTAAAATGTCAAAACCTGCCAGAAGATAGCAGAACAGCCTATCATTATCAGGTGCTAGGAATGGCACCATGACAAGCCATTAATTTGGACTGACTTGAACAGCTGCTGTCATAAAATCTGCATGATTCAGAGTTAACCCTAACCATCTGCAATCCCAAAGTCATGTTTCATGCCACTGTCCTAGCCTGGACA